TTAGAGAACTCCCTCCCACTCCAAACCAGCAATATTTGTTTACTTCAAGAAACTATTTTTATTCTCAGATGGTTCCTTTTCCTTGCTTGCCTTTCTTGATTTTATCAACACAATCACTCCTCAAATTTCAATGAGAAAAACACATTAGAAATTTTCAGAGCCTTTTTAAATTTATTTTTGCAGAGTCTGTTTCAAAGGAACTCAATTGCTATGACTGCTCACATAGGCATATCCTATTCTAACAGCCAAGTTTCCCACATCCAGTGACTTTTCCATATTTGCTTACCCATAAAGAGTCTGTATGTAACCAGAATTGAGAAGTGAGAACATTCTATCAAAAATGCTGTGGGGTTTTAATCAAATCTTTTAGGTTCGAGAACAAGAGAAGGAAAAGGTGGGTGCAACTTAAAGATTACTCTCCTATGTCTACCACTGTAACCCACAGCCAGCTAGCAGTGTCCCTTCTGCAGTTGGCCTGACTGTGCCAACAGTCACCCAGAGAAGAGCTCTGAGCCATTGGGTGGGAACGTGTTTGTGCTGTGAGTGGGGGAATCCCTTCTCTAGTACCTGTGTAATTGCCAGAAGCTCCAGGAGTTTCAAAATAAGTTCTCTGCCCCCTTCTTCTCCCACTGCACTGGAGTTCACCCAGGTCTCTAGCTCTTGTTATTGTAAGTTGATGGGGCATTAGTGAGCACAGGTTAGGGTTCCCCTTAGCATGGATGAACTCTGGTCTAACAGGTTCTTGCTAGAACTAAGTTTTGTTAAGCTAGGCATTTTCATGGCACCATTTCCTAGTTGTCTGCAGTGATAGGGACTTTTCTTCTTAAATTCATTTGGCCATTTTAGAGGAGATACAATTGGGGAGGGATGGTGGAGGTGGTGGTGAACATGTGGAGTTGCACATGTAGGCTCAGGTCATCATCTTGAACTAGAAGCCCATTCAATATGCCCTGCAGCTGACTGTTGCTGCCATGCTGCTTCTCTTCCCTTCTGTTCCATTGGCTCCATCTTAGAACATGCTTTACATTCTTTACACTTTCCTGGTTTCCTCAACAAGGTCCTATTCTCTCTCCAGAATTTTACCAGGTTCGCCTCTTAGCCCTCCTCTCCTCTCATTCTATGTACATTTCCTGGGCAATATCATCCACTTCCTGGCTTCAACTGTCATCTACAGCAATAGTTTTCAAACTCCTCCCATGAATATCGATCACACAGGGAATCAGTAACATCTCTCTTTAGACACAGTGATTCTCAACTGGGACATCCTGAAATCTCACAAGGAACATTCAGAGCTTGAAGAAGCATTTCTCATGCCCAGCGATCTTTGGCCTGAGGCACCTGTCTGTTCCATCTCTGGTGAAAGGCATCATCATCCACTGAGTTGTCCACTGCAAAGGCCTGTAAGTCATCACCACTAGACTTGAGGACAGAGAGGGTATCTATCTTGTTTACCAACATACCTAACAGAGGTGCCTAACACATAGCAGCTCAACGATATTTGTTGAAGGAATTCAACAAATGAATTCAATGGTTAAATTCTGTGATTTTCAATTAGTATCTTTTTCACTCATCCACTTCTTTTCATCTACAATATCAGCACTTAAGTTAAAAATCATTACAGTTGTTTACCTGGCTTACTACCACAGTTTCCCAGGCTCCAAATCCTGCCTCCTCCAACCCACCTCTATGCTATACTCAAGAGTTAATCTTTTTCAGTTACAGATTAGTTCTTATCATCCCTCAACTTAGGCCCTTTAAAATCAAATCCAAATTTCTCAATGTGACACATGAATCTAACATTCTTTTGACTTTATACAGTGCATTCCTTCTTTACTTAGAAGAACAACTCAGACATCACTGTAAGGAGAATTTCTTGATGCTCAAAAGCTGAATTAAATATTAGTCTGACATGCTACCCAAAGTATCCTGTATTTCCCTACTACTGAATCTATTCTATATTACAATTGCTTGTTTACTTGACTGTCTCCTCAACTTCATTGTAAATTTTCATGGGTGTGTGTGTGTCTTTTTCACTGTATCTCAGTGTCCTGCACAGTTCCTGGCACAGAGTAGGCATTCAGTGAGTATCTGGTGAATGAATATATTTTGAATTTCAGGTTGAGTATCCCAAAATCTGAAATGCTCTAAACTCTGAAACTTTTTGAGTAATGTCAACATGATGCTCAAAGGAAATGCTCATTGGATCATTTTGGATAGATAAGGAATGCTCAACTGGTAAAAAATAATGCAAATATTCCAAAATCTGAAAAAATCCAAAATCTGAAACACTTCTCTATTTTCAAGTGACCATGGGAGGTCGTAACCTTGGAATTACATCATGGGACAGGGATCTGACCCCCGTGGTATACATAAATAGACATCAGGGCTTCATGAACACTATGAAATTGTCCCCAACATTTTATATTTATATACATCTTTTTGGAGACTATTTTCAGGCTGTGAAAAGAACATGCTAAAGTGTGTTACAAACTAACAAAACAAAATGTAATACATACAACATACACACACATACAGGGTTTACTTAATGATATCAGGCCTTGTGCTAAAATTTAAAGGACAAAAAAGTAGAAGAGTTAGAGTGCCAAAGGAAAAGTAAAGAAAAATAGATGATGGCAGAAAAAGAACTTAGAAAGGCAGAACGGAGAGAGAAGAGTAACCTCTGCCTACTCTGCCATTTTATATGAAGTCCTTATGCAGCCAGTATATGCAAGGTTGGCTTTACCACAAAGATGTCAGTGTCTGAAGAAAGCAGTATAATTTTGAAAACTGCAAACTTTAGTTTGCCCTGATGCTGCCCAACTTCAGGGGAGTTTTGTCCCACAATCCAGTTGTCCTTTCAGTTCAATTCAGTGAATCCCTGTCTAGACCTTGACCTTTAACTGAAGGAAAGAGAAAAGAAAAAGGCAGACAGTGGCCTCGCTGTGAGCAGGCAGAGGCAGGGATCAGAGCTGGCCCCTCATTCCTTACTTCTCAGCTGACTGGCTTTCTCTGGTGCAAATCTACTCTTTTGTCTTTATTTATAGTATAGTTTATGTACTTTCCTATTTGCAGGAATTTGGATAACATATCATGTACTTTGGTAAAATGAGAAAATACATATAAATTCTAAAAAATACAGGTAGTTTTGAGAATTCTAGTAATATTTTTCTAAATGTTGACTATGTTCAGCCTCTCGTCATTAATCAAACATTCAATGAAGGAAAAGGAATATGATATATATTTTTTATTTTGAGATAGGGTCTTACTCTATTGCCCAGGCTGGAGTGCCCTGAAGTGACTGCAGCTCAGTGCAACCTCCAACTCCTGGGCTCAAGCAATCCTCCGGCCTCAGCCTCCTGAGTAGCTAGGGCTACAGATGTGTGCCACCACACCTGGCTAATTTTTCTAATTTTTTTTAGAGACAGGGTCTCACTATGTTGCTCAGGCTGGTCTTGAACTCTTGGCCTCAAGCGATCCTCTGACCTTGTCCCCCCACAAAGTGCTAGGACTACAAGTGTGAGCCACCATGCCTGGCCTAATTTGTAAGTTTTTACATCAGCATATAACAGATAATACTGGCAGGTTTGCTTTAAAAAAAAAAAAAAAAAAAAAAAGCTAACTTTTATATCATAAGATACTATTACTAAGCCACTAAGGTATAAAAAGTACTTTTGAGTTTTCCTCTCAGAAATGGTAACAAGCTTGATTTTGAGTGTTTAATGCTACTTGGCCTAACTTCCATTATTGTAGAGTCTACATGTAGCTACTGCTCTTACATCCAAAAAGTCTCTAGCTGTGAAACCAAGCTTACTCTCATGGAGATGAAACTGGACCCTCTTCTTCATTAGCATCATCTTTTATCCAGAAAACAAGGAAAGCCAGAGGATGGGAAATTTGGTCAAAGGGGAGAATTCATTGACTCATTAATCAGCATCTAAATAATCAGGAATGGTCCATAATTATCTGAATAGCAATTTAGTCCCATCATGAATTTATTATATGTACATTTGTTATATGTATAACAATTCCACAGTGTCTTACTGTAGAACTCTAATTGTATAAACAAAATTTTAATTGTTAAAACAGTAAGAGTTTTTAAGAACCAAGTCTGTAAAAACTAAGGTTTTTCAAGATTCTGTCTTGAAAGAAGATAGAATCTTTTTCAAGATTCTATCTATCCTATTTGAATTTCTGTGAAATCTTAATCTACTGTTAAAAAATATATTATTTTAATCATAGTGGTAACTGAGAAATTGCTCTGAGAAATTCCTGATAAAATTTTTTTTTTAAAGAGACAGGGTCTTGTTCTGTCACCTGGGCTAGAGTACAGTGGTGTCATCATAGCTCACTACAACCTCAAACTCCTAGGCTCAAGAGATCCTTCTGCCTCAGCCTCCCAAGTAGCTAGGAGTACAGGTGTTTGCCACTACACTTGGCTACTTTTTTATTTTCTGTAGAGATGGGGTCTTACTACATTACCTAGGCTGGTCTTAAATTCCTGACCTCCAGAGATCTTCCTGCATTGGCCTCCCAAAGTGCTGCGATTATAGGTGTGAGCCACTGCACCTGGTCAGATTTCTGATAAATTTATGGTGAAATTTAGTGATCAGTTATTCTTGCTGTGAGTTAGTGGGGAAGAAGGAGGAACAGAAAAGAAAGGAAAAAAAATACTGTTTAACAAAGTTGCAGTTAATACTGTACTTATTTGATATATTCTTCTTTTTTCTTTAATTCCAGGATTCACTTAAGAGTTGGTAATGGGTTTTACCCTGTTATCTGCACTGATATCCTTTTTGGCAAGTGTTTGATAACCTTGCTGTTAATGATTTATTGAAATCTGGTTTATGCTCTGTTATACTGATAGATAAGCAGAGCACATCACAGAGAACTTGTGTTTTATTTTTTTCCATAATAGTGTATGGGAAATGAAGCCCTTTCACATGCTATTGGGACTGTTTTGAGAAAAGACAGATGAAAATGGAAGAAAAAAATTCTATAACCTCGTTCATTTCCTGCTCTACTTGCATCCTTATCCTTACTCTTGGCCAACTCATTGTATCTTCCATCTTCTTTAGGTTTCACTGCTGCAAGAGAGACCTGGGTTAGGAGGTGACTTGAGTATGATGCCAGGATGAACGCTGACAATGAGATGAGAGCCAAAAGAGGTTGTAAAGCCGGAACTAGAAATGAGCTGTTAGGAGTCCTCATCATGTAGCCTGATGTAGCATATTCCTATTCATCCATACAGGTGTGAAATTTGCAAAACCAATCAAATATACTCACCCAGAAGGAAAGATGAACTGTCACTGAGATTATTTAGTACTCTCTAACTGGAATGTGCACATTATTAAGAAGTTCGTAACATCAATTCTGTGAAGTGTGAAATGGAAAGAAAACATGGTGTATGACAATGTGGATGGGCATCACCTGGAAAATCCAGCAGTCCACGCCAACAGATGCCCCCAAGGTAGTATTTACCTTGATGAGCCTTGCAGACTCTGATACCTGATCTCATTGACTGGACCCAGGAATGTAGACTCATGCTAACAAAATTCACAAGACACTGATGTATAAAAAAAGAATGTGACTTTATTAATTCACAGTGAACAACAGAATAGCAGGCATACTAAATGACTGAATGTATCAGCCTGATAGTGAATTATCTCCTTGGGAAGGCGAATTACCAAAGGAAAGTTTGGTGAGCATGCAAGCATAGCAAGTGGAGTTAATTATGCAGATTCCAGCAAAACATGGCATGAGGCTCTGCAACTCTGTACAACAGGATTATACACTTGCCAGGCCAATTGGATGCTTGCCTCAACCTGGCAGGTGTTGTCTGACAGTGTTTTGTTAAGAACCATAACAATTACATTAATAGCTCTTCTTTTTCTCTGTTTTGGAGACAGAGAAAATGCTCTTCTGATGGTGTGTGTGTGTGTCTGTAAGATGTCAATATCTTTAATTAGGTTATAGTCAAAATCTTACTCCCTGAAGAGTTTTTATGTTTCTTAAGATCACGTTGCCTTTCTAGGCTTCTGTTTATTGGGTGTTCACTTCTCAGTTTAATTTTCAGAGGGTAATTTCATGTCCTTGCTTTCTAGGATCAGAGGGGCCCTATATGGTGGACTCCACATTTGCCTACAGTTCCACAAAGTGATGGTTACATTCAAATCAACCTGTGCCAACTTTATGCTCACTGCTGTGCCAGGTACAAAATAATATTCAAAAATGTAACAGGAACCTAGAAGGAAATGTTATATCTACTGGGTGCTTACAGCCCTTTGTTCTTTTCAAGATACACTTATTCATTCATTTTTTTTTCACCAGTATTTACAGACCCCCTCCTATGTACCAGGACTTACAAGGTACAAGAAATATATAAATAAACATGGCACTGTCTCATTCTTTTTAGGAGCCTATACTCTAGCAAAGGAGCAAGATACATTAAAAAAAAAAAGTTACTGTACCAAGTGGTATGGAACATGATGGAGAGAGTCCTTTTATATCTGTGGGCAGAGGCAGAAGTCAGATCTTTCTTAAAATCTGATTTTTAAAAAGTAATAAATAGGCCAGGTGCGGTGGCTCACACCTGTAATCCTAGCACTCTGGGAGGCTCAAGGTCAGGAGTTCCAAACCAGCCTGAGCAAGAGCGAGACCCTGTCTCTACTAAAAATAGAAAGAAATTAATTGGCCAACTAAAAAATATATAGAAAAAATTAGCTGGGCATGGTGGTGCATGCCTGCAGATCCAGCTATTGGGAGGCTGAGGCAGAAGGATCACCTGAGCCCAGGAGTCTAAGGTTGCTATGAGCTAGGCTGACACCACAGCACTCTAGCCAGGGAAACACAGTGAGACTCTGTCTCAAAAAAAAATAAAAAAATTAATAAATAATGATTATTTAAAAAAATTAATTACAGTAATGTAATTAAAATATAAAAGTAAAAAGTGTAAGTTCCTTCAGGCTCCTTCCCTAAGCCCTTTCTATCTCTCCAGGATGCCCTCATGAGTAGTTTGGTGAGTACTTCCAGACCTTCTACACACAAAACTTTTCCATTCCCAATACACATACATTTATATATGTATATAAACATAAATTTATATATTATACACCCATTTACATAAAATACACATGTGTGGGATCACATTCTCTATATATTCTTTTGTCATTTGTCCTTTTACATTTAATACTTTGTTGTAAATTATAACATGTATATAGAAAAGTATACAAAATATACATGTTCAGTTCAGAAAATAATTATTCCGTATAATTACCTGGTATCAGGTTAATAAATAGAAGAAAATCTTGAATGCCCCAGAAACTCCCTGCTCCCACCACCCCTAAATCATTGTCCTGAATTTTATGTTAGTCATTTCCAAGCTTTTTCTATAGTTTTACACCTGCAAGACAGAAAAAGTTCAAATTTGCCTGGATTGACAAATACCCTTAGGGAAAAAGCCACTTCAGTTTTTCTAAGTCTCTCTGGACTCTTACTTGCCTTTAGGTTTTAGCCTTTAATTCCTTATCTTTTAAGCTCTTTGCTGCTCTGAGGATGTTTTCTTATACATATTTAACAGTTTCAATTATTTTCAGCACGAGGATTGATTGTTCAAATAACTTAATTGCCATATTTCCAGGAACAGAAATCTGTGTCACTTCTAAATTTCTTCCTTTTGTTACTGTTATATGTAAAAATGTGGATTCTTACCTACTAGATCATAACTTTTTAGGAATTATGAGAGGCAAGCTTCTTTGATTTCCCACAGCACAAATAGTGAAATATGTAATAAATGCACAAAGAATAAAGGAATAGTAAAGAGAATGAATATGTAATTATTCCTGCCCTTGAGGACTTTCCATTTTCTTTTCTGTTCTAAGATGTATATGAACAAAACAATTTGAAATGAAACAATTTGAGGCAATAAAGAGGCATATTTAAATGTAATCACTTGTAATCACTGACATGGAAAGATTTCTGATATATTGTGAAGTGAAAACAAAAGTTGTAGAATGGACTATCTCTATAAAATCTATCTATATATACATCTGTATATACCTCCCACGTGTGTGAATAGGGGTGTGTGTGTGTGTGTGTGTGTAAATGCCTATGCATATTCCTTATGTACAGAAAAATGACACATAACAGTAGTTACTTCTATGGACTGCGACTGGGACGACAGAGGAGTTATCTTTTCACTTTCAAATATCCTATTTTTACAACAAACATATATTACTTTTATAGTTAGAAAAAACCAAATTAACAATATATACTCAAGGGCAAATACAAATGACAAGGGAAATCAAGAAGAAAAAATAGAAAGGAAAACAGAAATTTCTGGGGAAAGTTTCTTGGAAAAAGCAGGGCTTACAACGGGCCCTGTAGGACTGGCAGAGTTTGAATTAGAGGACAAAGGTGGTGGGGGTGGGGGCAGTGGGTTAGGCAGACAAGAGTTGGGTTTTGAGTAGACCTTAGGGAAGAAAAGAAAACGGTATTTCAAGAGGACCATAAGGAAGTTCACCTGGCTAAAGCTAACGCCAAGTTAACATTAAGAGAGATGACTAAAAGGACATAACAGAGCCAGAGCAGAAAATGCAGAATGCCATCAATATTAAGAGTTTATAACTGGTTTGATGGGAAATAGAAGTCATTACAGGTAATTTCACAAAGTAGTAATAAAAGATAATATGAACCTCATGGAACTTGAAAAGGTACAATTGTTTTTAAAATATTTTTTTAAAAATATGAACCTCATGGAGTAGTTTGTATAGAATGAAATAAAACATGTGAAAATCCCTGGCAATTTGCCTGTAATTATTAGGTTTTATTATTATATTAAAATTATAATTTAGGGAGATTATCTTGGCATTCTTGCATGGAATGTATTACAGGGGAAGAAAAAGACTCAGAGCAAGGAGACTAGCAATATAATATATTTGAAAAAGCTGGCCCAGTTTTCTCAATCTGGAAAATATGAATAACCATCCTATCTCACAGGATTATTATAAGGATTAAATGTACATAAAATGGTACAACCAAAATATATTAGTTCATTTCTTCTAATGACTATTATAGTCCAGGTGAGTGTTGATAAAAATCAGAACTGATACCCTGGTCATGGGAATGGAAAAAATAAAGCCAAGAAATTATTCTAAATAAATAATCAATAGGGATCTATTTATTGGATGCAAGGAACGAAAGGAGAAAAGGTGAAGATCTCTAGGTTTCCAGCAGGGGAGACTGGTTGAATGGTGATGTATCTGACAGAAACCAACCTAGATCTGTGACCCACAATATGTTTGGAGTCATAACAATCTTTCACCTCCCCTGTCTCTCTGTTATCCTCCCCAATCCATAACCTACAATGCTCTCCACTGGGGTATAGGACAACCTCCTTGTATTAGTACAAAGATGGCTTAGAATATTTTAAAATAAAGGTGCAATTATATTCATTTCATCTGGAAAAAAAATTCCAAGAATGCATAAAAACCTTAATTGAGACATGTACAATTACTACATATTCAATTATTGCAGTGGGCAAAACTTAGCAATACTTTGTTAAAAATAAAAAAACTCAGCATATACCTTTAAGGAAGAAGAATTCTACATAAATATTCCACAGATTTAAACATCTTTAGGGTCTAAAATTATTTGTGCCTGTTCCATTGGAGAGCTAGAATCACAAAACTATGAAAACTAAAAAAGATCGATAAAAACAAATCATTTAAGTGGTTCTGATTTACTGTGTTTTAAAATTCTTTTTTTCTAAGTGGAGTCTGGTTTCTAAGTTCCATGTTACAAGCCAGGATGAGTCTTAAAGCAGGGTTTATTACAGCTTTACATTATTCCAAAAGTCTCAGATACACATCCTATGTTGCCTAGCTGGAGGTCAAAAAGTTTGAGGACTATTACATGGTAAAACACAAAAATTGGGAAAGTTTCAAAGTGATCTGCCACACTTCAGACTCCTTACTTCTCTGTAAGGTCACATCCCTGTAGAAGATGACAAAGTTGACAATTACGTAACTCAGCCTCTAGAACTAGTTACAACTCTGGAATGTGACCATTCTTTTGCAATGTAGTTGGT